CTCTCTCCTCTCCCTTCTCTCTCTCCTCTCTCCCTCTCTCTCTCTCTCTCTCTCTCTCTCTCCTCTCTCTCTCATCTTCTCCCTCTCTCTCTCTCTCCCTCTCTCTCTCTCTCTCTTCTCTCTCTCTCTCTCTCTCTTCTCCTCTTCTCTCTCTCCCTTGCTCGCCTCTCTTTCTTTCTCTCTCTCCCCCTTGTCGCTCTCTCTCTCTTTCTTCTCTCTCTCTCACACGCAGGCACCACACACACTATTTCGCTCACTCACATTCTCCCTCTCCCCTCTTCCTCTCCCTCTCCCTCTTCCTCTCCTTCTCTCCCCTTTTCCGCTCCCTCTGCTTTTATCTATTCCTCCTACCCCCACCCCTACCCCTCCTTCTGTCTCTCTCACACAAAGGAGCAACAACGTCATAAAATGAACGTTCATTATTCACTCATTATCGCTTTCGTAATTACAAATCAGCCTCGTAAATCTTCCATTAATGATCGATCGATTTACTCCTCACGCTTCCTTTATTTGAATATTTTGTTATTATCGTTATTATCGTTATTTTCTTCCTGTTTATTCCTTTACTTTTTCTACAAAGGTACTAACTGGCAACTGAGCTGAGTCAGGCTCTTCTGATCTCTTTCGGTCCTTCGTGTGCTCTTGGTGTCTCTCTCTCTTCCTCTTTCTCTTTCTTCCTTTATTGCTCGCTCTCGCTCTCTCTGCACACGCACCCTCTTCTTCTTGCTTTCTAACCATTCTTTCTTTCTTTCTTCATTTCTCTCTTCTATCTATCTCTCAGTCTCTTTCTCTTTCTATCTATCTCTCTATCTCTACTCCCCTTGTCTTTTACCTCTAGATTTCCCATATCTTTTCCTCTCTCTCTATCTATCTCTTTCTCTTTCTATCTATCTCTATCTCTACTCCCCCTGTCTTTTCCGCCTAGATTTCCCATATCTTTTCCTCCACTTCCCTACCTATCCTTTCCCCGCTTCCCCCCCCTATCCTTTCTCCCACTTTACCCTCCCTACCTTTCCCCCTGTCATGTCAAATCAGTCAAGTTCCCCTCCAATACTTTTTGTTTGTCTGTGCATCTCTTTTTCTTTTTTTTCTTTTTTTTTAGATATATATTTACACTTTTTCGTTATTTCCCTTTTTCGGAAAACGAATGAAAAAGGAAAAAAAAAGTATCTATTTCGTATTATTCCTAACACTTTTTCGTTTATTTCCCTTTTTTCCCCTTTTCGGAAAACGAATGAAAAAAAAAGAAAAAACGCTATTTTCGTATTCTTCCTATTCCGCAGACTCATCCGATATATTTCCTTCAAGAATCACAGGTTTGACACATAATTCCTCCTCCCCCCCCCCTCCCCTCCCCCCCCTCCTCCTCCTCCTTCCCTTAATCCGCATTATCTATAATACCGAAATCTCGGCCCCCTCCCACTTCCCTTCTTACCTCCACCCCCCAACACCCAGATTATTATTACCACTTACCCTCCTCTTCCTTCTCCTGCTCCCAAATATCCCCGCTTCTCTTTCCTCTTCTTCTATATTCTTTTCTCCCCTCTTTTCTTCTTTCGCTTTCTCCTCCTCCTCCTTTTCTTTTCTTTTTTCTTGTTCTCCCTTCTCTTTCTCTCCTTTTCTCCTTCTCCTTCTCCTTCTCCTCTCCTTCTCCTCTCCTTCTCCTCCTCCTCCACCTGCTTCCACTGTCCTGCTCCCCCTCCACTACTCCCTCTTTCCTCTCCCCCCCATTTCCCTCCTCTTCCCTACTCCCTTCCCCTTTCCTCCTTCTCCTTCTATCCCCCTCCTCTTCCTCTTCCTCTTTCTGCGTCAGGCGTTCGCATCACTATCTCTGTCTGACACATAACTATGATGCTGTTTGTTCAGCTGATAACCACTTCCGAGTTTCCATTTGTGTGTCTCTTGTGATCGCTCTTCTGTCCTCTGTTCTCTTGTCTCTCTTTGCTCTTTCCTTTCTCTCTTTCTCCTCCTCTCTGTCTCTCGTCTCTCTTCTCTCTCTCTCTGTCCTCTGTCTTTCTCTCTTCTCTCTCTCTTTCTCTCTTTCCTTCTCTCTCTCTCTCTTCCCACCCCTCTCCTTTCTTTTCTTTCTTTTCTCTCTCTCTCTCTCTACTCCCCCTCTCTCTCTCTCCCTTTTCCCCCTCTCTCTCTCTCTCCCCCTCCCCTCTTCCCCTCCTCCCTCTCTCCTCTTCCCCCTCCCTCTCTCTGTCTCCCCTCCCTCCCCTCCCCTCTCTCCCTTCCCCCCCCCAACCCCAGCCACCCCATTCCACCCTCCAAACCCATCCAAACCCTCCCCCCCCTCCAACCCCAACCCAATCCAATCCCCCCACCCCCAACCCCTTACACCCTCGTCCCCTTCCACCTCCCCCTCCCCAATCCACCCCTCCCCCCAATCCAACCCCCCCACCCCCTCACCCCCTTCCCCCTCCTCTCCCCACCCACCCCGATGCGACTTACCCTGCGGCGTGAAGGGCAGCGTGTGTCCGTTGGCGTCGGCGGCGGGGTGGCAGGAGGCGCGGGTGCTGGAGGGGAGGCGGCGGGGGTGGGGGGACTCGTTGCTGTTCTCCCCCTTGTTGTTGTTCAGCACCGGCAGGGACCCCGCCCCGCCTCCTCCTCCTCCGCCCGTGCCTCCTCCTCCTCCTCCTCCTCCTCCCGTGGTGCCCCCGACGCCGCCCGTGCCTCCTCCGCCCCCTCCGCCGGTGTCGCCGTCGGAGGAGGCGTTGTGGCCGGTTCTGGAGGAGGTCTCGTGGGGGAGGTTGACCCGCGAGGACGAGTTGCTCTTGTTGGTGAGGACCGGGAGCTTCTGCAACAGGCGATGAAGGAGGGGTTAGAAGGGCGTTGTAGGTTGAGGGGGGGGGGTGCAGGATGAGGGAGGGGGGGTTGTAGGTTGAGGGAGGGGTTTTGCAGGATGAGGGGATGGGCGCTGTAGGTTGAGGAGGGAGTTGCAGTATGAAGGAGGGGGTGCATGCAGGGTTGTAGATGAGGGAGGGGGTGCAGGGATGCAGGGTTGCAGGATGAGGGAGGGGGTTGCAGGGGAGGGTTGGAGTGATGAGGGAGAGGGGTTGCAGGTTGAGGGAGTGGTTGTAGGATGAAGGGGTTTGCAGGTTGAGGGGTTTGGGGATGGGGGGGGGGGGTTGTTGGTTGCGGGAAGGGGGGGGGGTTGCAGCTTGTGGGGGGGGTTACAGTTTGAGGGGGAGGGGTTGCAGGTCGAAGGGGGAGCAAAAAGAGGTGGTTGCAGGTGCAATTGTTGTGATATGCTTGATGTGATGTTGTTTGGTTCGTGTTTATGGAAATGATGCTAAGATGATGATGACCAAGAGTGATATTCATGATAACGATGGTGATGATGGTGATAGTGATGTTTACGATAATTATGATGAGTGGTGATGATTTATGGTGATGTTTAGAAATGATGTAGATGATGATATTAGTAATAACTACAACAGATAATAGTAACATAACAACAAAAGGATCTTAAGAGTTAAGACAACAAAAAACAACACCAATATATAAAACACCATAATGAAGAAATACACACATACATAAAAATAATTCCTACACATTTCCTACACCAAATGAACCGATCTGAACACAACTTACCTTTACGCTAATGACAAGTTAATCCACAATAAAGTATTTTTTTTTTTTTTTTTTTTTTTTTTTTAATCACCGTCACGCTCATAAACAAACTCGAAGGTAATCATGAACCTCTCCTTTTTTTTCTTCAACCTCCTTCGAGACGTTTATTAACCTCCCCCTCCACCCCCCCCTTTCTCAAAAAAAAGAAGAAAAATAAAAAAACTAAAAAAAAAGAAAGCGTAACAAAAAAAAAATAAAAAAAAAATGAAAAAAAAATCTTAAAGAAAAGAATGACTATGATCTTTTCACCTCCCCCTCCCCTTCCAAAAACAAAAAATGAAAAAAATCTCTAAAAGACAAAGAAAGCATGACCTTGTTCCCCTCCCCTTCCAAAAACAAATTTGAAAGATCTTTCAAAAGACAAGATCTTCACTACTTTGCAGATGATGTATAAATTCTCCATCTTGAGACGGGATAGAGAGGGGGGGAGGGGAGGCCCCCGACATGATCTTCCCAACTTTAAAGGTGTTGTTTTGAAAAGCAAGATGGGTTAAAAATGAAGAAAAAAGAAAGAAAAAACATTATCTTCATTCGCTCTCTTGCTCTGACCGCCTGTCGCCATCTCTTTCTCTCTTTCCCTCTCTTTCTCTTTTTCTCTCTCTCTCCCTCTCTCCTTTTCTCTTTTTTTTCTCTCCTTTCTCTTTCTCTTTCTCTTCTCTCTCTCTCTCTCTCTTTTCTCTTTTCCCTCTCTCTCTCTCCTTCTCTGTCCTCTTTCCCTCCCTCTCTCTCTCTCCTCTCTCTCTCTCTCTCTCCTCTTCTCTTTTCGTGTGGCTTTCTGTTTCTCTCCCTCCCTCCCTCCCTCTCTATCTACTATTAGCTAGCCTATCTATCTAATCTATCCATCTCCTATATCTATATCTCTTTACTTATCTATCTATATATCAGCTATCTATCTCTGTATCTATCATTTTATCTATCTATATATCTACCATTTTATCTACCTATATATCTACCATTTTTATCTATCATATATATCTTATATATTTTTCTATCTATATACCTATCTTTTTATCTAGCTATATATCTCTTTATCTACCTATCTACTATCTATCCTCTATCTATTTATCTACCTTTCCTACGCCCTTTATCCTATTCTCACAAACTCACAAACCCCCCCCCCACCAAACAGAAGGACGAAGAGCCTACCCCCCCCCTCCCTCCATCCCTCCTCTTCCTCTAACCAGGTGACACCAGCCCCCCTTCCATTCCCCCCCTCTTACCCCCTCCACCCCCACCCCCATCCCTCTTTCTTAAAAGTGCTACCCCTTTTCTCTCTCTCCTCCACACACAACACACACACACACACACACACACACACACACACACACATCACACACACACACACACACACACACACACACACACACACACACACACACACACACACCTAGCGCCCGTGGTCATTTTAAAGCAGAAGTGGCTATACATCGTGTACACACACATTGGCCGCGCACGCACACCCAGCCACGGACACACATAAGCACATACATACACGCAAAGACACAAAGCGGACCATTATGTACACACACAACTGGCACAGAAGCTTAAAGATGTGTTGGTTACATGGGATTTCGTCCACCTACACACATACACACAGACATATAAATATACACATGGACACAAACACACGTACACGCATAGATACTCAGTGGTATATAAATGCGAGTATACATACGAAACCACACACAAACAAGCACGCACACACACGCGCGCATGTACACATGTACACATACACACACATATGTACAACAAACAAGCAAGCAAACAAACACAAACACACATATACAAAAACAAACAAACAAAAACACAACACACACATATATACAAAAACAAACAGACACACAACACATACAAAAACAAACAAAACAAAACAACACACACATATATACAAAACACAAACATACACACACATGCACACACACACACACACACGCCCACACACACGCCAGGGATATCAGGACACAGTACAGGATACTCATTTCCTGTGATTCCCTTGATAACAACGTAGGTACGTCACAGGGACTTTTATTTATTAATTAATTCATATCATTTTGAGGGCCATTTCTCACTCTGGGCTCTAGTCTAGCCCTTCTGAAAAATCTAGTGACTCTTTCGACTTTTAAGACGAAAACTGGTCTGTGAGTGTCCTCTTTGTGAATCTCTTTTGATTTTCTTGTTCTTTCCTCTCTCTCTTCTCTTCTCTCCTTCTCTCTCTCTCTCTCTCTCTTAACTCCTCGCCCTTCTCTCTTTTGTCTCTCTTTATCTCTTCTTATCTGTCTGCTTATCAGTCTCTCATTTTCTATGTCTGGCTTTCTCTCTCGCTCGCTCCTGTTTCTCCCCTCTCCTTTCTTCTTCTCTTCCCTCTCTTCTCTCTCCTCTCCCTCTCCCTCTCCCTCTTCCTCTCTCCTCTCTCCCTCTCCCTCTCTCTTTTCCTCGCCCTTCTTTCCTTCTCGGTCGCTCCCCTCTCCTCCCTCCCTCCCTCCCCCCCTCCCTCCCTCCCTCCCTCCCCTTCCCCTCCCTCCCTCCCTCCCTCCCTCCTTCCTTCCTCCTTCCTTCCTTTCCCTTCCCTCCTCCCAAGTCGCCGGAAAAAAAAAAACAAAGCAAAAACAAAGACACGACACGAAAAGAAACGAAAAATCAATAAACAGACAAAGCAAACAAAGATAAAATAAAGCGAAATATCCCGATGAAAAGAAAAGAAAAAAAAAAAACAAGCCCATAATTACCCCCCCCCCCAAAAAAAAAATACTAAATAAAAAAATAAATAAAAAAAAATAAAATAAATAATAAAAATAAAAATAAAAACAAATCAAACAGACAATAAATCAATCAATAACCAAACAAACAATAACAATAAAAAAAAAATCGCACTATCATTACGGAAAAAAAAACAAACACCGCACTCACGCAGACAACACACGCCAAATAATGAAACCCATCTGATTAAAAAAAAAAAAAAAAAAAAAAAAAAATAGTTGCACGTGGTTGCAATTAATATCATTACGCGGACGCATTTGGCCCCGTGCTCTCCCTCCCCCCCCTCCCCCCCTCCCCCTCCAACCCCCCAACCCCCAACCCCTTCCTCTTCCCTCCCCCCCCCCATTTTTTTTTAGAGAGAGAGAAATATGATCACAGATAAATGATTAAAAAATGCTTTTCCTCGCCGGGAATAATTGTGCGCGATTAAAACCAGAGGGCTGATTCTATTGGCTACACTTGCTGGGAGATGAAGGGGGGAAAAAGGGTTAAAGATGCGTGTTGCTGTGATTTGTCTGTCTGTTTTTTCTATCTACATATTTGTGTGTGTATGAATAAACAAATAATAAACACACACACACACACACACACACACACACACACACACACACACACACACACACACACACACACACACACACACACACACACACACACACGCAACACACACACACACACACACGCAACACACACACGCGTACACACTCACAATATATATATAATATATAATATATATATATTATTATATATAAAGAAAGAGAGAAGAGAGAGAGAGAGAGAGAGAGAGAGAGAGAGAGAGAGAGAGGAGAGAGAGAGAGAGAGAGAGAGAGAGAGAGAGGAGAGAGGAGAGAGAAGAAAGAAAGACAGACAGACAGACAGACAGACAGAGAAAAATAAAGTAAAGACAGACAGATAGGCAGACAGAGAAAAAAAAAAAAACACATCCAAAACACACACACACACGCACAAACAAAACAACAACCCCCCCCAAGCAGGGAGCGCATGACTCAGCAGAGAGACCGAACAGCAGGGATCAGCCAGACCAAGACCGCCCGGAGTCGAGTCAGCGGAGAACGCCCCGAGAGGGAGACTTTATCGGAGAAGAGGGTGGGCGGGTGGGGCGGGGATGGGGATGGGATGGGAGGGGTGGGGAGGGGGAGGGAGGGGAGGGGATGGGGATGGGGAGGGGAGGGGAAGGGAGGGAAGAGGAGAGGATGAGAGGAAAGAGAGGGAGAGAGGGGGAGAGGGTGGGGGTGGGCAGGGGAAGGAGAGGATGGAGGAGGGGGGAGGAGTGAGAGGGAGGGGAAGAGGGAGATGATGAGAGGAGAGAGGGAGGGGAGGGAGGGAGGGAGGAAGAGGATGAGAGGAAGAGAGGGGAGAGAGGAGGGAGAAGGAAGAGGAGAGGAG